AAGGCCGTGTATACTACTCTAACAGACAAAGTTCGGTGAACCTTTTTCAACTCGGATGCAGCGTGAACAACGTCGAGTTTTTGCAAGTTTTCTAATAGCTTGCAAATCTGTTTTCACTATAACCAGATTTGTTATCAGATCAAGTTGTGCTCGGAAATTATCTTCATCAAAATTCCACAACTCGGTTTTAAACTAAACTTGGTATACAACTGCTATACCTAAAATCTTTTTATAAGTTAAACTCCAGTTGCGACATTAATCTTATATCTTTTCTGAGTTCATCACACTTCGTTTCAAACTTGCTCGATTTATACAGCAAAAAGAATAACTTGTAATGAAACAAAACACAATCGTTCATATTTATTAAAGAAACAATACTCCATCATCTTTTCCTACTGAGGATGTCAACATGGTGACACCACGGTTAATATCAAAATATTAAATCAATAAAATATAATAGTTTCGAACTTCAAGCAGCATCTTCTTTCTCTTCCACACTCCGGCCAGCACCGCTGCTTTCTTCAACTTCCAGATCAGCCGGAGTCGCCAACACTTGCTCCTGAAGTCATTCCAGCACAACAACTTCCTTCATTCGTGTCGTCGCATCAATAGCTGGATTAGAGACCGGGACAAGTTCATGTCGAGGATCCGTAGATCAATTAACACTTCCTCCACTGCGGGCACAACCTCGATTTCTCCAACTTCTTTATATATCAACTTGGCCTTTTTCTCGGCATATGCTTCGATAGCCTTTCGGATTTGCTCGGGGGTTATATCATAGAAATTTTGCTCGATGATGACGTCAACAAGAGTCTCAATATATACATCAGCCAGCTACTCCCGTTTCTCTTTCTCTCCTTCAAGAATCATATTCACATAAGTGCGGCGGAGAAGATCTTCACGTTCCTTAGACAACTGAGGGAGATTTGTCTTCTTGGTAAACTCCTCGGTCCGACCCAATAGGTTAGCACAAAATTCCCTTTCATTGTCATCGGCCTCAACATGCATGCCTTTGATCTCCATGTTGAAGCCATACTTCTCTAGATTGTGAAATAAAAAGATGCGTAGCTCATCGACATCGTAAAACCCGGCGCTGCACCGTTCGATCACCCACTGGAGATTCACACAAGTGTTCATCTCCATTTCTAAGTCAGGGCCAACGAATGCGCCTCCAAACCCGACTTCGGCAATGATTGCTTCCACGTGTCCTTCACCAGCTTGATTTTCTCTAATGGAAACCGAATCCTTTTTTTCCTGGAAACCATTCCCATACATGAACTCACCATAAGCCGACTTCTCCCTCTCGAGTTTAGCCATTTCGGCTTGGTGAGCATCACGGGCCCAGGCCATAAGCGTTTGGACTTTGACACAATTCGTGCGAGTCTCTTCGTGCTCAGTTTTCTCCTTCAACAGTTTCTCATTTGCCTCCTCGACTTTAACCTCGAGCGCCTTGGCGTGCTGTTCAGCAAAAGCATGACGAGTTTTTAGTTCCTCCACTTCAGCTTGAACAGACTTTTTCTCCTCGGACAATGCCACAATCTCTTTTTGCGCCACTTCAATCTGCGCATCTCGATCGGTAAGTTGTTCTTTCAAAGTCGTTTCTGATTTGGCCGCATTCTCCTTCAATGATGCGTTCGTCCCATCTCGTAGGGCTAAAGTGTTTTTCTTCTCTTCTAACTGTGCGACGATCTGACTGTGATCGTCCTCGGCCGCAACAAGACTCACCAAGGCCCCATGCATGCTTTCGCATAATTAAGCTTTTGCACACTTGACAAGGATGACACCCCAACTTTGAACCTTGGATCCCACTCCATTAAAGGAACTCGAGCACCATTTATGGCATTTTTCGGCATCCTGATCCTAGAAGACATGTGAGGAATCTTCACCGATCGGAAAGTAGTGAACCACTCCTCAACAACATCCTTTGGCATGTTTAGATTTGCCACCCTCTCTTCATCGATAGACAAAAATGACTTCTCGAACAGCGGAGACTTGTCGGCGCTCTTTCGCTTATCATGCCGGCTGGAGTCATGTTTTTTGTTTAACCTCCCCTCCGCTGAAGTAGAAGTATCTCCGACAGATATCTTAACCAGCTTTCTTTTCTTATTTGGTTGAGAGACTTCGGGAGACTTCAGAGGTGATTGCTGCTTCTCTAGCACCTCGACGCACACTTGTTCTGACAAGACTAACTCGTTTCTCGATAGATTTTATAACACCCCGCTAGCTTATAAATATTAGAGTCAAATTTTTGCAAATTCTTTTTTAGAAATACGTATTAGTTTGCGAAATCGTGATTCAGGATGCTACTGAAAAACCTTTCTTTTCTGAAAAAGTCTGTTATCTTTTCTGAGTTAGTTATTATGAAAAATGGATTATATTTAATCAAACTGGCACGTAATACTGCACAAAATCTGACTGGTAAATCGGAGTAAAACCTAAAAATCAACATGTGAGTTTGAAAATCTAAACGCGTCAGCGGAAGTAAAAACATGGCAAAACATATATAATACAGAACAAAAGGTCTGCAAAATAACATGTAGTCAAACCCACGACCGTCGGCTAGGCTCACTCATTTGGACCGAGCATGTGACCTAAAAAAGATAATATATTGGGGGCGTGAGCACTAAAAGCCACTGTGCTCCATAAAAACTCAAGATTAAGTCAAGAAAGTTAAAATTTTGAATTTTTCAAGTCACACGGGTCATGTGACAAGTCACACGAGTCGTGTGGCTCAAGGTATCATTAAAGTTAAGTCTCGACATGATCACACAAGTCGTGTGAATTCACACGAGTCATGTGACATTTCACACGAGTCGTGTGGATTGAGCACTAACAGAAATTAAGCTACGGCCTTCTCACACGAGTCGTGTGACTCAAGACACACGAGTCGTGTGACTAGCCACACGGGTCGTGTGACCGACAGAAATGATCAGATTTTCATTAAGTTGTTTTTGGTGGCAACTAAAGCTAATTTTGAGCATTTAATTAAGAAAAGCTAATGATTTAATGTTAGGTAAGGATATATTTAAATTGATTAATTTTTATAAGTTTAAATTGTTTAATTTGTTAATTTCTTCACTTCAAATATTTTATTCCAAAATTTTGGCTATAAATAGAGGGCTTCACAATCTGATTTTTCACACCAAAAAAATATTTCAAAGTTATATAAGTTCATAAGTAGTAGAAATTATAGTGGAGTGAAGAATTTTTGAAGTGAAGGATAAGAAATTTTCAAGTTCAAGTCTTTGAAGGAGGTAATTTACTTATGTTAAGTTCATGTTTATTTTCAATTCATGGTTATCTTGAATTCATATTAACTAGTTGTTAGTATACATGTTAAAGTGTTATGATTGATTTAATGAGTTCAAGTTGTTATTTTATGATATATGCTTTAATGATATAAGGATTATTTAGTTAAGTATGATTCTTGTTAGAATTGAGTTTTTTTACTACAAGAAATCTGGAAAAAATATGACAAAAAAAATTGTCATAAAAATATGAATTTTCATCACCGAATATATTTGATGATGAATTTTTAGTGTCACAGAGTTTGTCACTGTAGCCGCGTCATATTAGGTCTATATGACAATTTTTCAATTTTGTCATCTAATGTTTTGAATTTGTGACAAAAAATAGTATTGTCATTGTACCTTTGCGAGATTTGGTGACGATTGATATGTCACATTTATCATGAAACTTTTGTCACAAAATTATCTATTTTGTCACTAAAATATAGCCTTTATATGACAAAAAATAGTATTGTCATTGTCCTTTGTGAGATTTGGTGACGATTGATTTATCACATTTATCATGAAACTTTTGTCACAAAATTATGTACATTGTCACTAAAAGTTAGCCTTTATATGACAAAAAATAGTATTGTCATTGTCCTTTGTGAGATTTGGTGACGATTGATTTGTCACATTTATCATGAAAGTTTTGTCACAAAACTATCTATATTGTCACTAAAAGTTAGCCTTTATATGACGAATATATGTGGTTTTGTCATCTTAAATTTTACATATAATGACAAAAAAGAGTTGTGTTATAGTTACAAATAATTATTTGTCACCAATGAAATATTTATAATGATGAACGAACATGTCACATAAAATTATGTTTTAATGATGAAATATTCCTTGTCACCAAATGAATAAATTAAAGTTGATGATATATTTAGTCATAGAAAGATTGTATTATATGACATTGTGTTTATTGTCACCAAATGCATATACAAATGTGACGATATAATTTATCATGAAAAAGTAAAGTATATGACACAAAATATACTATCACTTGAAAGAAGTTTAGTGTGACAAAATATTAGACATAAATAAGCCATTTTATACCACAATCGTGAATGTATATTTGACGATATGTTGTGTCACTAAAGATTGCTTTTAGTAACCAATTGAAAATTATCACAAAAATTTATAATAATACTATTGTGATTAGCAGTAAATTAGATAATTACATAATATATTATGTGAAATAAAAATAAATGAGTATATATAGAAGGAAATATATGATATATTCATAATTAAAAACAAAAACTATTGTACTTGGAATATTAAATGAAAAACACTAAATAAACACTTAAGCAACAAATCTTCGCTTATTTTCTAGTTTTTTTGGAAAGTCTTGGTAATCCTTCAACATTCATTCACAAAAGAGAGCAATCACCTGTAAGTATAAAACATTTGAATCAGCACATATATTTGCATTTATCAAAACATATTTTCACAAAAAAAAAA